CGTGTCTTGAATGCTGTCTTCTATTTGTCACCCGGTTTAATACGAATTTGATGGTAGCCACTCTTGGGGTCAAGTTTGGAGAAGATAGATGTTGTTCCAATTTGATCCAACATGTCATCTAGACGAGGGATGGAAAAACTATAATGAACTGTGATCTTGTTGATGGCACGACTATCCACACACATTCGCCACGTTCTATCTTTCTTTGGTATTAATAAGGCTGGAACAGTGCAAGGACTAAGAGTTTTCCAAATATGACCTTTAGCAATCAAACCTTCCACTTGATGAAGTAGTTAATCATGTTCTTGTATGCTTATTCGGTAATGCGGCCGATTGGGTAAATTAGCACCGGGAACAAGATATATTTGATGTTGAATTTCGCATAATGGCGGAAGTCCTAACGGGAGATCAGTAAAAAAAACATCTTGAAACTCTTGCAGGAGGTCAGAGAAAATGGCAGGAATGGTTTCTTTCATGATTGTGGTAGCAGGCGAAGACGGCAATAAAGCTAACAGAAACCCAACATCTTTAAACTCTCTCTCGAATTGTGTACGTGAACAGAGAAGTGAAGACTGTTGTGACACATCTCGTGAGGCTGGAGGCTGTGCAATAATCTCAGTTTTCTAAACCGATAGTGAAGATGGTTCTAGAGTTGGTAAGATAATAATCCTGCGATTCTCAAAAACAAAGCTATATGTGGTCTTTTTGCCGTTGTGACAGGTATTACGGTCATACTGCCAAGGACGTCCCAATATTAGATGGCTCACATCCATTGATGCAATATCACAGAAGATCATGTCTTTGTAGATAGTACTGATGGAAAAAGAAACAAGCACCCGTTGAGAGATTTTGACTTTTGTGCCTTCAGAAATCCAAGCTAGAGTATAAGGAGACGGATGTTTTTCGCGCTTCAACCCGAGTTTCTTCACTGCTGTTTCAGAAATCATATTTCTGCAACTGCCAGAATCGATTACAAGGTTGCAAAGTTTGCCTTTGATCGTACAAGTTGAACGAAAAATATTCGTCCGCAACCAAGGTTCTTCGTATCCCATAGGAACTAAGCAGATTCGACTCATCATCAATGTTTCCGGTCATTGGAACATCTTCAAAGATGTCCTAATTCATCTTCATACTCTTCATCCACCTGCGCCAGCTCATCTAAAAGCAGTCTGCGCTGGTTTTTATTTGGACAAGCTGTTTGTCTGTGACCGGGTTCCCTGCAGTTATAGCATATAAGGGCTGGTGCTTTTGTTAAACGACGAAGTGTAGATCATCAGTAGCAATGTTTCCGCGATTTAATGGTTGTGAATCATTGTTATCGCGAGGGTTGGAGTCTTGTTCTGTGTTAGACGTATGCGGTCACCAATTTCCCGAACCAGTTCCAAAAGAACCTAATTTTGATTGTGTTTCAAACGCAAGTGCTTGCAGATGAGCTTCAGCCAATGTTGTAGGATCAAATTGGGTCAACAAATTCTGCAGTGAAAGGCGCAAACCACCAATAAAACGAGAAACCAACTGGATTGGGGTGTCATTAAGCTCATTCTGGATGAGTAGGAGGTAAAATTATTCTGCGTATTCATCCACAGAATGCAAACTTTGGCGTAGATTTTGCAGTCTGGTGAACATTTTCTGGTCGTGGTTAAGAGGAAGGAATTGCGTCCGCAAGTGCTTTTTTAATTGATCCCATGTTGCGATACGGGCTTTACCAGTACGAACCCGATTTGCCTTGAACTGCAACCACCATGATGCTGCTCTGCCGCGAAATCGAGTTGCCACAAGCGCCATTTGTCTTTCCTGTGGTACCTGTTTGAATTCAAGAACTTCCTCCACGGCAAAGATCCAGTCTAACAGATCTTCTCCATGAACGCTACCTTGAAATTATGGGATGTCAACTTCTAAACCTGATTCCCAACAATGATCAACCATCGGATTCTGGTTATTGTTTATTCCCTCTTGTTGTCGTTGCTGGTTTGAACTTGCAAGATATTGTTGTTGGCATTGCCTTCGTTCTCGTTGTTGTCGTTGTTAACAACTACTCGATTGTTGAACACAGCAATGAGATTTAGTTGATTTTGAGCCAATGTTTCTCCCAGAGTTTGTATTGCTTGTTGAAACGAGTTCTGCAGATTTTTTTTGCATAGTTAGTATCGTGCGTTGCAGATCGGCCATGGAGATATCCTCCGCTGTATCCTTCTTAGGAGGCATGAGGAATCACACCAGAAATGATCTTGTAATCTGATACCAACTGATGGAGTATTAATAGGCAGAGACGTAACGATGAACGAGTGATTTGTATGCGATGGTTTTGTGGGTATTGAGGAAATCGAAGGTATTCGATTTTCACAATGGATTTTGAGAGTCCTCCTCTCAGGGTTTTGCACAAGAAAGTTCTTTAGAAATTTGAGTTTCCTCTTTTTGGGTTTTTTATTGGTTTTATCAAAAGAGAGCTAAAAGCAAAACAAAATGATAGATCCTTTATATAGCCTCTAACATTATCCTAGGACTAATAGGAATCCACATAAAAAAGAAAAAAATTTAATTACAATCTATAACCTAATTAGGAAATAAAAAAAAATAAAAAAAAAAAACAAAGTTTAGAGATCACGTCTAAAAACACCAACACCAATGACGTAACACTCGTAATTTAGATAAGGATGCTCTGCATCACTTTGTTTCCGTATGAAATATTTGAGTTATTTGATGGATTTGCATTCTGTGTACTCTTTAGCATGTAACTTTCTTTCTAATACAAAAAGTTGCCAAAAAGAATGAGCATCCTTTATGTAAAGTAATGGAACTATAGTAGAGTCGATATGGACTAATAGAGGTCTCTTTTTATACCAATTAATTTTTTATGTAAAATTTGTAAAGTAATCTGCTGCTTGAGTGTGAAAATTTGAAAGTTTTGTGTTCAGAAGTCTTAACTTTAAGTTTTGTCGAATTCTTGCTTGTTCAAAATTTCAAATAGATTTATGTTTCAGAGTTTTATATATGTATACAACGTATTTGATGGATTTGGAGTTCGAATATATGTTAACTTATGTACATGTAATTTTAGTTTCGTAGAATCTGCTGGCTTTTTTGTCTTTTTGTGTTTGCAGATATTTGTTACTTAATGAATATGTGTTGTCATGTTGAATGAATCGGATAATGACAATAGATTTTGTTATGGGGTTATTGTCGGATAGTGAGTGTTCCGAAATTCTGGAAACTATTAAAACCTTCTGATGTCAAAATATATAAAAAATATTTGATTCCTGATTTAGAATTTACTTTTTTCATGTGTGTAATACTCAAAATGGCGAACTTATTGTTACAATTTTTTTTTCGGCGTTTATGTATATGTATTTTAATATGATGATTGAATGATTGAGCATATGTATATCAACTATCTATGAAAATTGAAAAGAACCTCTCGTATTGAACTTATCTTTTTCGTGTTTGGCCCAAAAAGCAACAATAAGATAGAAAGGAAACTACGATCTATAACTTTATGGAGGGGTATGGTTACTCAAATGGCTTTAAGGCCAAAAAATAAAAGAGAGAATGCTTTAGATAGTCATATTTTGTCAAATGAAGCGTTGTAAATAAACTCAAACGTTTGCTTCATTTTACTTTGGATTTATCCTTTATTCTAAGATGATGTGATGTCTCCACAATGCATGTCACACTCAGCAACTCGCAATGTTAAGCATTACAAATTAATAAAGATTAAAGTAAAACTACGGGCTGATGCAAAAAGCTAGCCCATTGATTAACAATTAGAGTAAGACGCTAACCTCGACTATTGGAACCACATGGCGATATTTGATAGATGCGGTTCGTTGGAAAGTAACAGAAACTTTAATACTTTGGCCAACATTAATAAACAATACGTCATATATCTGTCGTTTTATCCGCTGTGTAATGTAAACCATATAGTATTCGTAATATAATAAACATATAAAAAAAGAAAGATCAGGTTTGAAATTAGGAAGTTTGTTTGTTTGTCAAGTAGGCTTGAAATTTAGGATGTGTTACGTTGTGTAGTAAGCGAAAAAAGGTTGGGTTATAGTTCTGCCACTAACTATATATTTAGTTGTGATAAAAATAAATTAATAAATATATATATATATATAGTTATAATATGCTCTAAAGATCATCTAGTCGTCAGTTTTTTCGTTGTAAATTTGTTTCGGTTTTAGGACAACACAAATTTATCGCAAACAGTGAATGTGCATTAGATAGATTACAATCTTAGTACTTACGATGTGTTCAGGAATTTTAGCTCGTTACTACCCATTTTACACTACAGTTAAACTTCTACAAATTAATGATGTCGAGACTGCAATATTCTATTAATTTATCGAATTATTAATTTATCGATATGATAATTAGTCTAAAAAACTAATTTAAAACTTAAAAATATATTAATTTGTCGAAGTATTAATTTATCAATTATTAATTCATAGAAATTATATTGTACTATATAATTTAATTAAAAGCAATTTAAAATTTTTTCAAAAAGAAATTGTAAATTCAAATCATTAATTACGTACTATTACATAGTTTTAGGCATAAATCTGCTTTCCAAATTCAAATATATGACTAACCACTCATTTATTCTTATTACCAGAACATTTCGAGTTATTAAATTAGATTTTCTCTCTAGAGTTTTTTACCAATACTGTTCTTGGATACTATAGAAACTAAAAGAAGTATAAAAACACACCAAAAAATCTGACTGGACCATCAAGGGATACAAATATCCCAAGGGCACATACATCAAACCCATAAAAGGGGTTTTTTTTTTGGACAAAACCCATAAAAAGGTATAGAAAAATGAGTTGCCGACTAAAAAAAATTCTGATTGGACAAAAATTTAAAGAAAATATATTGCGTGATATATCATAAATGATAACTTTTTTAACTTGGGGAATTATAACGGATATTCATTTTTTTGGTAAAGGCACCATCAAATTCGATTATATATATATCAGAGACGTGCACTACACAGGCAAATCAACACACGCATAGATACATAGTTATATAAAACTGTTCTTCCTCAAGATCGTGAAATCAAAGCACATTCAATCCATCAAGATCGTGAAATTAAAGCAAATTCAATCCATCAAGATCGTGAAATCAAAGCAAATCCGAGCCATCTTTGACATAAGAAGATAACCATCAAATAAAGAATATGAAGAATATGAAGATGATGATGATGATGATGATGGTTGTGGTGAGTGAAGCGAGTATGATGGTGATGGTGAGTGAACCGAATATGATAGAGCAGACATGCAAAGAGACACCAGACTTCAATCTCTGTGTCTCTCTCCTTGACTCCGATCCACGTGGCTCCTCTGCCGACACCTCTGGTCTCGCTCTTATCCTCGTCGACAAAATCAAGGTTTTTAAGTTTTCTTCTCCGATCTAGTTTCTTTCATATTTTAGATTTATTATAAGAATGTGATATTTGATTAACCATGCTTTCAATTTCTGTATAGTATAAGCTTCGTTACTATTACTATACCATCAATAATTTTTAATTTCAAGTATTATACTTTTTGTATTTAATTACTAATTTATTAGATTTTTCACACATATTAAAATATAAATGCTTGATTTTCCATTTTTAATTCTTGTAAATTAATTTTCCACAACTCTTAACCCATTATAATTCAGTAAATTTATTAGCTTTAATTATTATTTTTTTGAAAATTTACAATTCATCATTATTTTAGTTAATAAAAATGTATAAATGATTTCTCATAAAAATCTATTTTTATGAAAAAACATTATTTTCTAAAAAAAATGGAGGGTAATTAAAATTTCACTCGATCCCAGTGTATAGTATGAGGCTCTATGAGCTAATGAGCCTTTTTGGTTTTTGTGTGGGACATGGATGATTTGAATCAAAACTGGGAAGCAATTTCTAAATAAAACACAAAATCAGGGGTTTTTTTTTTTTTTGCAATTACAATTTTGTTTTCATGTCTTATACAGTTCATTCAATTTCAGAATATAATTTTTTTCGTTGCTTACTTACTATACCACCAATTTTGTGTCATTTCTTTTATGCGGAAAAGGGTTGTTTTTGATGGATCAAAACTTCAAGGTTGTTTCGATATAAAATACAAATCTACAGGGTTGTTTCATAAATATGTAACTTTTTTATAGGGGTTGGCAACGAAGACCTTGAACGAGATCAACGGTCTGTATAAAAGGAGACCAGAACTAAAACATGCCCTAGACGAATGTAGCCGAAGATACAAAACGATCTTAAACGCTGATGTTCCCGAAGCCATTGAAGCTATCTCTAAAGGAGTTCCAAAATTTGGTGAAGACGGTGTGATAGACGCTGGTGTCGAAGCTTCTGTATGTGAAAGAGGGTTTATAGGAAAATCTCCGTTGACTAACTTGACCAAATCAATGCAAAGAATCTCTAATGTGGCTAGAGCCATTGTGAGAATGTTGCTTTGATTATATCTTATGTTAATATATACAAGCATGTGTTATTGGTGTTTGATGGGATTTTATTTCATTAAAATAAAAATGTTGCAAGTAAAGAATCTTATATCAGAGTTTTTGTTGTATTTGCTAGATAAAAGAAAATTTGATGTTAAGGATTTCTTCATTTTTTTTTGTTTCAATTAGAAAATTAATAGTCGTCCTTAATTGTATTCATATATATGTCTTCTAAATGCCAATTTGTTGCCAGCTTTTGTCCGTCCTACACTTGGAAGAGATCAGAAAAATGAATGACAGATTCAGCTTCTTCCTTCTAAAATACATTCCAGGCACAAAAAACTCGCGGACAAACTTGCAAGGAACGCTCGTGCCTATCCACAATATATTATTTAAGTAAACTTGGTTTTATCGGTTTGGTTAGCTGAAATGTTCTAGGTTTTTTAAAAGCTGTTTAACAAAAAAAAAGCCAATTTGTTGCAAGTGGGGATCAAAATTTTAAATTGTTTTTAATTCTTGTGATATTAAGCTATCTAAAAAAACAAGAACATTTTGTAAAATCAACACATTTTTGGGAAAAAAAACTGATTCCAACAAAGATTCTGAAACCTTTTAAACCATATCATATCGATATGTTTGGCTGTAAACAACCATATCAAAAGTATATTTAGTTTTTTTATTTATTAAAATATTAAAATATATTCTATTATTTTAAATAATAATTAATCCACATATATAAAAACATTATTTAAATTTTTGCAATATTTTTCATTTGTATTTTCATAATTAATTAGTATTATTTTCGAAAATTAATTCAATTATTTTTATTAAAAAATTGAAATATATTTTTAAAATTTAAATTGTATTTTTTTACAAGTTGGCAAAAAAATTATTTTAGTAAATTGCAAAATAGATTAAGTAGACGAGTTTGTCCACTTTGATAATCTTATATAATCATTATTAACATATATTATATAATTCATTAACTAAGAATATTAGTTTGATCTCTAATAAAATATTCACAATTAAATTATTATTTTATAAATATATATTTAGATTCTAATCCATGTTAGTATGTATATAACTATATATATATATATATTAACATCTTATCACTTTCACATTTAAAAACTACTAATAATTAAACCGCATAACAAAACTAACTCAAAGTCCTATTCGATGATATATATATATAAGTAAATATCGGTTGTGTGATATTTATATATGTATTGTTATCTAATTGCCACCAATTTTATTTATTTATATGTTTTTGTTAAAAAAATTTTACCATCAATTTTATTGTAACCAAAAAATTAAAATTAAATTTAAAAACAATTTAAAAACATTATCCTGCACAATGTGCGGGTTAATTCCTGGCTGATAATATTATGATATATTGACAACTTTATTCTCTAGATTTATGTGTTCAAATGTGTCTTTGGATATTTGTCTAAGACATTTGTATTCATATTTATTCTAGATATTTGTGTTTTGACATTTGTGTTCAATTTTTTTACCTTTTAATTCTATTATGATCAATGGAAGACATAATTGATAATGGACATGATCATATAATTATTATTTGTCCGCAATCAAAATGGTCAAAATTGGACATGTTCAAATGGGCGTGGACGACCCATTTTGACAACTCTACTCAACTAGAGCTGTCAATTGAAAAATGCATCTAAGTGCCATCTCTCTCCTCTCTCCTTTCTCTTTGGCGCTCCTCCTTCCTCGGTACCTCCGCCTCTCTGGCGATTTGTTTTTGCCGAAGAAGGCTCTTTTTTTCTTGCTTTTTTCTGGCTTGCACTTCATATGCGGTATTGTGCTCTCCTCTTCCAAATTGGTGGCAGATCTGTGCTTCTCGGCGAGGCTGCGGTGGCTCTGCTATTGATTGGCGGTGGTGGTGCCTTTGCAGATCCCAGATCTGATGGGGACAAGATCAGTTCATGTTTCCTCAGGCTATGTTCTGTTTTTTTCTCGGCTTTACTCTTCTTCTTTGGTCTTTTCAGGGTGTTCCCAGCAGTTTTTAGTGGCTGCTGTAGCGGGAGGTGGTGTTTGATGCGGCGGATAGAATTTCAGAGTTTGAACTTCTGAGATCTCACGAGTAACACTGTTTGTTTCGAGGACGCAGATGTGAAACACCCTGTCCCGGCCTTTCTAAGGCCGCGGACGATGCGTTCCATGTTCAGGCCGTATCATGGCTGAACCTCAACATTTTCTACCTTTTTCTTATTTCATTACTTCTTCAAGCGATTTCCTTCAACTATTCCCTATGACTTTACTTAGCCATTTAACGTTTCTAATATTGCACAGCGGAATCTTCTTTCTACTTTAACTTTTCTTTTCCCCTTATCTAATTCCGATCTATCACTTGCCGGTCCGATTATCTTCTACCTTCAGACAGCCCTCTTTGACTTCTTGTTCGGTTTATAGAATAATCTTAGACTCGGTTCAAATAATACATCCTATGCATTCTATTCCCTAGACCTAACCGTCCAGTCATATGTATGTTACTAGCCATTTGTTCCCAGAGTAGTGTACTTACCGTAGTCACGTTCTTGATTCAACGCGCCTTTGATCTGTGTCATGGATTCAAACTGATCAATGCACGCGTCTACCCTGACTCCGTTCCTTGCCGAGTCTCATTCTATCCTTGAACCATATCCGTAGATATAAACAACTCCCTTCGGTACTTAGTCATTCAGCCAACCATCCCCACATGACTAAGTAACCGACAGAAAATCTTCTACTCCGGCCCGTCAATGCGTGCAGATCCAGTCTTGGCTTATGCACCATTTTCATGACCGTTTTCTCGGGTATATCTTGATCCGATGAATCTTCTCACAGACCACAATCTCTTCCCTTGATCTGTAAATATTTCCGATCCGGATCATGGGTCGGCCTTGGGCTGGCCGAGTCTTGGAGAGATCTGTTATGTTTCTCAAGTCGCTCGGCTGCCGCGCCAACCAGATCTGGTCAATAATCAATACGATTCTACGCGCACCATCGCCGGCCCAATCTCCATTCCACGGCCGGCGACCCAATGGTGATTTCAAATGAGTCATATAGATGGTTCGGCCTAGCCCATACTTTGGCCGAACGTCAAGTACGCCCGGTGAAACTCTTTATCGCTCCGGCCGCAACTCACCGTCTGATCGGCCTAGCCCATACTTGGGCCGATCATCGGATTCGTCCAACCGAACCAATAATTTATCCGTACGTTTCCTACCATAAAACGTACCTTAGAGACTTGCGGTCGTTTGCTTTTGCCGCACCGCGCTCTCTCTTATTTCCTTCCTGCCACGACCTGCACCAGTCGCTCCGCACGGATTCTTTTCTGCACGGTCATTCCCTTTATTCTCTCGGTTCTGTCTTAATTTGGGCAGAGTTTCTCTCATCTTTCTCTGCGTGTCCGAAAATATGGCCCAAGGGGTGTTTATAGATTTCCCCTTGTTATAACCGCTTTGGACGAATAGGCGCGAGTTGTTGGCCGAATGGATGCATTGATTGGGCGCATAGGCTTTGCAACCCTTCGGCCATAACCGCCCATAACCACCCCAGTTCAGCTAGTTCACTTGCCACACAGCTAGACCAACTGTCTTACTCTTAATCCAGCTGAACTGAGCTTCCCGGCAGCTGATCCAGCTAGCTTAGCTCAGCTGTCCAGGTCGTTTAAGCTTCACACCGCTTATTAAGCTCCTTCTGTTTATCTTTATTCTGTTCCAAGTCGCTTCTTTCCCGTAAAACGTAGTCAGCCCATTGTAAGCTCGCAGGACGCGGACGTTACAAGTCTCCCCCACTTAAATGGAATTTGTCCTCGAATTCGGCGGTGGTAGAATCTAGCTTCCCTTGACCTTGGCCCATCAAAACTTAATATCCTCCCTCGATTTTGTCTTTGTTTGGCTCGGTCTAACTTTTCGATCTTGATCCTTACTAGATTAGATCTTACTCCTCCATGACTTAGTCTAACTCTGACTAAGCTGGATGCCTGATCATAGTCTAAATCCGACTTGATCACCCGATCTTTGTCCACGCTTGATTTGATCAAGTTTTTCTTGATCCTAGTCATTCTCGACTAGATCTTTATCCGATCTCAGTCCTTCCCCGGACTTGATCCTTTTTTCCCGATCTTGGTCCTTTCTGGACTCGATCTGTATTCCCGATCTTAGCCAATCCCGGCTAGATCTTAATCTGACCTTGGTCCTTTCTTAGACTCGATCTATACTGACCTTGGTCCATTTTGGACTCGATCGTATTTTCCCCATTCTTAGCCTTATCTTGGCCAAGTTGGACTCCCAAATCATAGTCTAACCTAGACTAGATTGCCTGATCATAATCTATTACCGATTTGATCACCTTTTCCATGATCTTGGTCAATCTCTGACTTGATCATATCTTTATTCCTTATTATGCTTTGATCTTTTGACTTTTGTGAGCAATCTCTTGGTTCACGGTCACGCTTTGGCGAACATTTACCTGTTCCCACTCACGTTTGCCGGTCTTACCTCAATTCCCATCTAATCTTAAGACTTAGCATAATTGATCCCTTTATTCCCTTAGTCCATCTCCGAAATTGTAGGTTTTAGTCTGAATCGATCATTAATCTGTCTCTAAGGTTTACTTATCCTCTCATCTCTATTGACTAGGATTTAGTTTCGCCCAAAAAGATTATGCGATCTCGTATTTATGGTATAGGAACGTTACATGTTCTCCCCCACTTAAATGGAATTCGTCCTCGAATTCGATGGTAGGTAAAAACCTTGTTTCGTTCCCTTTAACCATTCCCAAATCCCACTCTGCATAGACTATATCGCTTAACCTATTGCGGTTTGTAGTTCTTGCCTTTGGATAGTCCATCTTGGCTCAGTTGATGTGCCTTGGTAAACTCTTCCGGTTTCCAAGCACAATCCCATCTTGCCTCAACTTCCATTTAGCTCACCTACAACTGCGCTTTTGGTTTACCGACTTGTCTTTCAAGTGTTCAATGAGTTAGCTTGGACTTATTATTCCATATCCCAGACCGCAGCTACCACTTAAGCCCGATCCTACTTTCGACTTAACTCATTATTCACTGCGACAAAACATTTCCAAGAAGTGTCTTGATTCTTAAACAAGCCTTGGCAAGCACACCAGACTCCCAAGTACCCGTCTTAAGCAATCTCACCCTTCGGAACGTATCCTTGTCTGGTTATAATCGAGTTTTAGCCCTCACTAATTTCCCGACTATTACTTTAGTCGTTTGTGGATCACTTATCCACTTTATCGAGCATCTTTCATTCCCGAGGACCAAGCATGCTCTGATACCAACTTGAAACACCCCGTCCCGGCCTTTCTAAAGTCGCGGACGATGCGTTCCATGTTCAGGCCGTATCATGGCTGAACCTCAACATTTTCTACCTTTTTCTTATTTCATTACTTCTTCAAGTGATTTCCTTCAACTATTCCCTATGACTTTACTTAGCCATTTAACGTTTCTAATATTGCACAGTGGAATCTTCTTTCTACTTAAACTTTTCTTTTCCCCTTATCTAATTCCGATCTATCACTTGCCGGTCCGATTATCTTCTACCTTCAGACAGCCCTCTTTGACTTCTTGTTCGGTTTATAGAATAATCTTAGACTCGGTTCAAATAATACATCCTATGCATTCTATTCCCTAGACCTAACCGTCCAGTCATATGTATGTCACTAGCCATTTGTTCCCAGAGTAGTGTACTTACCGTAGTCACGTTCTTGATTCAACGCGCCTCTGATCTGTGTCATGGATTCGAACTGATCAATGCACGCGTCTACCCTGACTCCGTTCCTTGCCGAGTCTCATTCTATCCTTAAACCATATCCGTAGATATAAACAATTCCCTTCGGTACTTAGTCATTCAGCCAACCATCCCCACATGACTAAGTAACCGACAGAGAATCTTTTACTCCGGCCCGTCAATGCGTGCAGATCCAGTCTTGGCTTATGCACCATTTTCATGACCGTTTTCTCGGGTATATCTTGATCCGATGAATCTTCTCACATACCACAATCTCTTCCCTTGATCTGTAAATATTTCCGATCCGGATCATGGGTCGGCCTTGGGCTGGCCGAGTCTTGGAGAGATCTGTTCCGTTTCCCAAGTCGCTCGGCTGCCGCGCCAACCTATTCCGGTCAATAATCAACACGATTCTACGCGCACCATCGCCGGCCCAATCTCCATTCCACGGTCGGCGACCCAATGGTGATTTCAACTGAGTCATATAGACGATTCGGCCTAGCCCATACTTTGGCCGAACGTCAAGTACGCCCGGTGAAACTCTTTATCGCTCCGGCCGCAACTCACCGTCTGATCGGCCTAGCCCATACTTGGGACGATCAATGGATTCGTCCAACCGAACCAATAATTTATCTGTACGCTTCCTACCATAAAACGTACCTTAGAGACTTGCGGTCGTTTGCTTTTACCGCACCGCGCTCTCTCTTCTTTCCTTCCTGCCACGACCCGCACCAGTCGCTCCGCACGGATTCTTTTCTGCACGGTCATTCCCTTTATTCTCTCGGTTCTGTCTTAATTTGGGCAGAGTTTCTCTCATCTTTCTCTGCGTGTCCGAAAATATGGCCCAAGGGGTCTATTTATAGATTTTCCCTTGTTGTAACCGTTTTGGACGAACAGGCGCGAGTTGTTGGCCGAACGAATGCATTGATTGGGCGCATAGGCTTTGCAACCCTTCGGCCATAACCGCCCATAACCACCCCAGTTCAGCTAGTTCACTTGCCACTCAGCTAGACCAACTGTCTTACTCTTAATCCAGCTGAGCTGAGCTTCCCGGCAGCTGATCCAGCTAGCTTAGCTCAGCTGTCCAGGTCGTTTAAGCTTCACACCGCTTATTGAGCTCCTTCCGTCTATCTTTATTCTGTTCCAAGTCGCTTCTTTCCCGTAAAATATAGTCAGCCCATTGTAAGTTCGCGGGACGCAGACGTTACAAGATGGGTTCGTGAAAGGAGATCTCCAGAGGTGGGTGATTTACGGCGACAAAGCATCCTCGACGATTGTTTCTAGCGGTTTTAGAATTTGCTTCGGATCGGTTCTTTTCCTTATCCTAGGTGCTTTGCTCCTCTTTCGGATTTTCATCACAAGGTAGATGGCTCGCTCCAGATCTTTTCGGCGATTCGTTTTCTCGATGGCGGATGTGGCAGCGGCTGATGCAAAGTCGTCTTCGCTTAGGGTGGTTTAGTCCGGTTTTGAAGCTTTTTGGTTTAGATTTTTTACTTAACCGCGTTCAGTTGGATTTTTATGGATCTGTTTTTATTTTTGTTTTTTCTGTCTTGCTTGTAACCCATTTTATTATATTCAAAAAAATCTTTTAACAAAAAAAAACTAGAGCTGTCAATTAGACAGATTGACCGTTGGTTTGGCTCAGTCCGTACTGCTTTGGGCTGACCATGAACGTAACGAAGCAGAACAACTTCAAAATTGTTTTTTTTTCCTGCTAGTTTATACACGTTTAACTTATTACGTGTGGGTTAGTCCACACGTGCTTGCGCTTGACTTCTCACTTTCGATAACTACTAAAAATTCATCCATCGCCACACAAATAAATGCCACTTCTCCTCCTCCGGCGAATCCTTTCTCCCTCCGCCGCTCTATGGCTTCCAAATCAATCTCCTCCGTTCCAATCAACCCATCGAACACTCGAATCGGGTGGATCGGAACCGGCGTTATGGGCCGATCAATGTGCGGACACCTAATCAGAGCCGGATACTCCGTCACCGTCTTCAATCGCACTGTCTCCAAAGCCCAGACACTCATCGACATGGGCGCGAAGCTAGCTGACTCGCCGAACTCACTCGCCGCACAATCCGACGTCGTTTTCTCCATCGTCGGTTACCCATCCGATGTCCGCCACGTGCTCCTCGATCCAATCTCCGGCGCTTTGTCCGGTCTAAACCCAGGCGGCGTCCTCGTCGATATGACAACCTCTGAGCCTTCCTTAGCCGAGGAGATATCTAAAGCCGCTTCCTCCGCGAACTGCTTCTCGATCGACGCTCCTGTTTCCGGCGGAGATCTCGGTGCTAAAAACGGGAAGCTAGCGATATTCGCCGGAGGAGACGAAACCACCGTGAAACGACTAGATCCGTTGTTTTCTCTCATGGGTAAAGTGAATTTCATGGGAACAAGCGGGAAAGGGCAATTTGCGAAGCTCGCGAATCAGATCACGATCGCTTCGACGATGTTAGGCCTCGTGGAAGGGATGATCTACGCTCACAAGTCCGGGCTCGATGTTAAGAAGTTTCTAAAAGCGATCTCCACCGGAGCTGCTGGTTCGAAGTCGATAGATTTGTATGGAGATCGGATTCTGAAGAGGGATTTTGATCCAGGGTTCTATGTGAATCATTTCGTCAAGGATTTAGGGATTTGTTTGAAGGAATGTCAGAGGATGGGATTGGCTTTGCCTGGGTTGGCTATTGCTCAACAGCTTTACTTGTCTCTCAAGGCACATGGTGAAGGTGATCTTGGAACTCAAGCTCTCATCTTGTCTCTCGAGCGTCTCAACAATGTCTCTGTTCAACCAATCATGTAAAAGTTTCTTGTATCTGTTGAAGCTTTTTATGTTTGATCTTGAGAAAAGATTCGAACTTTTGTGTTGTGTATGCATATGTTGGTAGAACATCAAATTTCGCCGGAGTCTAGGTTTGGAATGCGTATTGTATTGGTTACAGGACAGTTTTCCCCAGAAAAAGCATAGAATTGATCTGAAACTGCAATTTTCAGAATATGAGGTGAATGAGAAGAAATTTGTATCTGTGTGAGACTCGTTATAATCCTTCAAGATTCATGTTTGTGCAAGTTGGTATACGGATAAGAAGAGATTTTTCAGACCTCTAAACTGTGGCGATTGGACATACTGTTTAAGTTTTGTGTTAATGGTATATCCAACTGTAGAACTGAGGCGTTCAAAAACTTGTTTTATAAAAAATTGTTTTCAGTGCCTTCGTCGTCTCTCATGAAGAAACCGACTGTCCAAAACTTGCAGAGGGTTCGGAGAAGACCTCGAGAGTATTAGGAATAAGTCAACAGAGAAGAGACTCAATGAGAGATCAGAACAGAGAAAACAGAGAAACCAGAGATAACAGAAGCTCACTCCCTCCCATTATGAACCAGTTCATAGGCGTTCTGAAGACAGAAGCATATGATCTCATATAGTCAGAACAAGAGTAGGTTCTCTACCTTAAAGCTCAAGCCAAACTTCTTGATTGAATAGGTCCGGACCACATACCACTCCTAGTCAGTACAGCCAGGGCCGGATCTGAAATTTTGGGAGCTTGAAACAAAAACAAAAATGGAGACCTAATTGGTTTTATAAAAAAAAAAAATTTTAAAAAAAAATTTATAAGCTAAATTGAACAAAAAAAAATTGGGGGTTTGAAACAAATGTTTCAATGGTCTTGGCCCAGATCCGGCCCTGAGTACAACAAAGAGGAAAGTGGAGAACATAGATACTTTTTATTTAAAGTATGAGAAGCTTCTGCAGCTGTTAACATATCATAAACAGAAAAAGAAAGCGTTTGACATTCCCTTTGAGCTGACAAAATACAACTAGATTGCATTTATATCTATAAAGCTCCTTGTATAGCAAGCGATTCTACATATTCTCTATTTTTTAAGTAAAACGTCAAACGACAAAGCAATATATACTACTACATCAGGGCCTGATCGATGTTGATAACCAATTGTGTGAGCTAGAGGCAGGGGGTTGTGTTTCATCAAGCTTTGGCTTCACTCTCTCGATCCTGATATCATTTCTTGCAATCAGGACCCCATATAGATTCATAACCACGCTCAAATCATCATCTTATATATATAAGCTTGTGCAAAGTCATAGTCTGGCTTTGCTCTTCTTAGTAATATTTTAACAATTTAGACGAGGTATAGTTTTCCTAAATAATTATCAAGCTTATAAAATTATGATTTTTGGAATACAGCATGAAACGTTGTAGTTTAATTCGGACTTTGATATCTATATTAGTATTTAAAAAGTGAATTCGTCTGTGGTTTAATGCACAACTTTTTGTGTCGTTTTGTTTAATGAAATGCTGATGATTTGATTGGTTGATAATTGTTATAATTTGATTGGTTGAATTAGCTAATTTTAAATCATTAAAATCGATATTAATTGTTTTAAAAATGGAAAACTTCTGTAATTGAGACAAATTTTTTTGTCGTTTTGATTAATGAAATTCTGATGATTTGATTGGTTGATAATTGTTATAATTTAATTGATTGAATTAGCTAAATTCTAACCATTAAAATGGATATTAGTTGCTTTAAAAATGGAAAACTTCTGTAATTCAGATAAAAAAAGCCATAGGCCATAATCTTTTCTCTCGAAAAACTTGGCCCAATTTTCAAACCCAAAAACATTATAGATACCTTCCAATATGTCGTTTGTGTTGAATGAGATGGTAGCTGTGTTGGTTAAGTGCTTTGTCCATTTATCGAATGCTCACGGGTTCGAAACCTGTGATTAGTTTTCTTTTTTTTTTTTAATTTTTAGAATTTAGTTATAATTCGATTTTTGGAAATATTTTGTATTTATTAAATATTTTATAAAAGGAAATATTCCATAATTTCTTTGTTATTATCTAGAATGGAATCTTTACATTTTTATGATTAATAACTACGAAATTCATGGGAAGATAATATCGCATATAGATCAATAATTATATTTTAGTATTTTTCACAAGAAAATAAACTCTAGGTTGTTTAGACGTAAAAATATGAGCGTTTTCAACCAAACTTCTCATAATTTACGCATTAGTTTTTCTATTAGGGTTCCGTGATTATTTTGCTAGGGTTTTTATAATAGCATTAACTTTTTGGATCTCTTTAGAAAAGATTCAGCATGTTTGTCTATTTGCATGCAAAGCTAACTATGTGTTCGTCTAAGTACAACTTTGATCATCCATCTAAAGTCATCATCACTTGGGAAGTTCCGTCTACTGATTCTGGTATATATAACTATTATCAAATTTAATAATAGTATGTATGCTCTCAAGTTTTTTAAATGAATTCTAAAAATTTATACGACTATAGGTTTTGATAACCAGGCTTATGCTCGCGGGTTAAAGTCTGTGTTGAAATCGCATCGTCAGAATATGGATAACAAAGAGATGACTGATTATCGTTACGTAACTCCATACGTTTTCGTGGATATCACAAAAAAGGTTGTTGAACCTCTTTAGGTTATTCATTCAATTTATAATACTTATTAGTAGTTGTTTGTATTTGTAGGTTATCCATGCAAGCTACTTATCGATTCTGCTATCGACGAATGGACCTTGCGGACATATAATCCTGTTATCGAAGGTAGTCCTGTCTATTAATCTTACAGTTTTTACCTTTTGTAATGCTATATCTTAGCCTTTCAGATGCATACCCTTATTATATATTAATCTATGAACGTTTTCAATTTTTATGTAGATATTGATTCTTCGTATCATATATCTATTCTTGATCACGAGCTTTTTATCAAAGGAGGTATTTCTGATCTTCATGTAATATATTTTTATTAATGATGTATATTAAGTTTTATACGTATTTATGTTTGTTCTAATGTTTGTTTTGTGCATTTAGGTTCTGATCGTGTTAATACGAGTGATCATGCTCATAAGACTTTTCTATGGGATTTTGCGAGGAATGCTTGGGTTATGAATAAAGAATCTAATGGTTTCAATTCTTTGTTTTTTGTTTTGAACACCATTTTTTTTAGAATACTAATTACACCGTTTTTACATATATTTATCTATGCAGAAGATAGTGACTCTGATGATACCGAGGTTTTATCGGGTCGTGGTACTGATGATGATTATGGTTTTGAGGATTATATGGGTCTGATTCAGAGACGGGTGAAGATACTGATGATATGGACCAAACAGATGAATATGATTATGAGGATGATTTTATTGATGACGATGAGTCTTGTGAAGAATCTGATGGTTCAAGTGATAACTCAGAAGGTGATAGCGGTGATGACAAAGATGAAGATGGTGACGATGCCGATTTAACTGATGATAATGAAAATGATGATGAAGATGTTATGTTGGATGATGAGACTGATATTGACGATGATAGTGAAGATCAGCGAAACGTCGAACTGAGTGATATACTCATCGAAAAGAATATTAGTATATCTGGATACCAGGATTCGGTGTGTACTTATACAGTTTCTCTTGGTTCAATGTGTTTTAGAAGGTGTGTTTCACGTTTGAGTCATTCCAAAGATGGTTGTACTATCTTTGTTAAGGTTTTACAGACGTGGGTGCATATGCTAATTTCGAAACGTTCTTCCATGGAGCTCATATTGTCGGATGAACAGGTATTTATTGTACTATTACACAAAAATATTCTATATTTTTGACGGTGTCTAATTGACTGTTTTATTCACAGGGTGTAAAAATTCAGGCCACTGTTAGTGATGGTGAGATCAGTGTTGCATCGTCTCGCATAGATGTTGGTAGTTGGATTATTATCAGTCGTTTTTCTGTTATCGATTATGAAGATAGTTGTAGACCGACTTCTCATAGATACAAAATATTGTTCCTACCATCAACTATCATTGACAAGACTTCACGTAGATGTGAAAATGCCTATTTTGACTTCGTTGATTTTCAAAGGATATTGGATCGTGCCCATGATGATGACTATTTAGTTGGTGTGTTTATTTTCGATTTAGTTATTGAATTTCGTTATTATTATTTTGCTGATGTTAACATTGTTTAATTTTTGTTGTTTATGAAGATTTGATAGGTCGGGTCTTAAATGTAAGTCGATCTGGGACGTCCTGTGGTTAACTGACTAGAGAGCATTCTCTTCCTTCATATGGCAGTCTATGTAATGATATATGTGATTCCGAGATATGGGGTTCATATTCAACTGTCACGTTCTGTCTTAGAGATAAACGGTACTATCTGCTGAATGTTTTAAACTGTATATTGTCGTTTTAATTATTCTATCCATCTGAATATGTGTGACATGTTTTAATTTAGTGGTGTTGATTTGAGTTGTGAATTGTTCGGTGAGATGGTGAAAAACTTTTATGCATCTTGGAGACGCTGTGATCAAGATATCATTGTGTGTGTGCTTAGATGGGCCGTTGTTGATTATTTTGGAGGTATTTTTAGTATACTAATTTATATCCTCTATGTTCGTTTCGTTTTATTGTTTTGACTCTATATTTGTTTTATCAACATAGGCAAGATCACTATATCTTCCACATCTCCTACTAAGTTCGAACTCAATCCCCGTATTCCTGAGTTAGATGAGTTTTTGGAACAGTGAGTTTCTAATACTTAATGTTTGTATTTGACTTTATAGTATTAATTCGTGGTCGCCTTCTTTCTCTCAAATCTTTTTTTATAACAATGTAGATATCCGCGTAAGAGGCCATGCACGCGTGGTAGTGTGGGACATCTACATTGAACAGTGTTATGACGTCTACATTGAATATCATTTTAAAAAATGATTTACCATGTATACAAATTATAGTTTAATTATTCTTTATTCTTCAGACCTCTTTATTTTAATCAATAAATATTTTTTTTTAATGTAATTATTATTGTTGTTTGATATTGAAGTATAGAAAGCGGAGAAAATAATATAAGTTATATATTCACATAAATAACGCATGTTTTTATTGATTTCTTGGACTCCAAGTAACTCATATTTATAAATATTTAAGAGGATTCGAAGATATCCCCGATCATATCACAACTTTTAGTTTTTTCCATTTAGTGTCTATGAAAATCATGGTGTTTGAATGGATTATTTTATTGATTTTTTGGACTCCAAGTAACTCATATTTATAAATATCTAATAGGATTCGAAGAT